CGCACACACACACACAAACGCGCACGTGCACACAGACACACACAGACACCCATGCACGCACGCACGCACACACACACACACACACACACACACACACACACACACAATCAATCAACTCAATCCAATCAATCAATCAATCAATCAAATCAATCAAATCACTCAACCCTTTTTTTCTTTATTTGTTTTAAATTTTTGCATCTTCATTTTTTTTAAACACCTAATTTACCTACAAAAAAACGAAAATCATTTCTAAAAAAGATACAGCACAACTCAGGGACCATATCCCTCATGATAAAAAATGCCAAAAAAAATTCCTGCTTTTCTTTTTATTTATTTTTTAATATTTTCTTTAAATCGAATTTCGTTTTTCATTTTTTTAAAATCTTAAACGAAGTCAGATTCCAAAATAAAAAACATAGGATTGTAGGGCTTTCCAAGCCCTACACCCCTATATATATGTTTGTTTTTTTTTAACGTATTTTTAGGGGTCATGCGAGGATCAGGGTCCTCGGTAGGCCTATGGGGCCCTGTTTGCAGCATTACCCGCCCTAAGTGAAGGCGGAACTGGCTTTTTGCAAGAGGCCCTCGACTGTCAATTTCATATTTGGGGTCCAGGCAGTTGCGACGTGCCAGTTGGTTGAAAGAAACACAGGCCGAGCAACAAAGACATTTCCACGGCCCTCCGGGCCTTTCCAAAGAATGCAGGCCCTGGGCGTGATTCGCAGCCTCATACAGAGACAGTTGGGCGCCCAACCGAACGAGGCCCAGCAGCCCAGTAGCTGCTGTACGCAGGCAGCCTCCTGGGGCCTTCCGGAAGCTTCTGGGCCCAGGCCAGCCCAGCCAGGCTGCGAGAGCTGGCCAGCTCTTTTCCATAAAGGAAAGAGCTCTGGCCAGGCAGCCTCATTCAGGCACTCGCATGCTGGCGGCAGCGCTGCTGGAGTAAAGGCTCGCGGCTGCTGGCTGGCGCTGAGAGGCGAGGTGCAGCACGTGCAGTCGTGCAGGGAAGAAGGGTGCTGCTGAGGGCAGCGCCATAGCCCAGCCACCATAGCTGGTGGGCTTGGACTACAGTGAGGCGCAGGGGTGGTCTTCGGGTGAAACAGAGGACAGACGTGGGTGTAGTCAGGGGATAGGTGAAGGATGATGATGATGATGATGTGAGGGTACTTAACCCGAAAGACCTGGCGGCCGCCCTTGTTCATAAGCCCCCCATGACCCTCGCCGACCTCCTCACTCATACCCTCCAACTCGACCGCATCCTCTCCCCCTACAAGACCGCACCTACATCGGCCCCTCCCCGCCTCGCTTCTTCCACAACATCGCCTCCGAGGACACCACCTCCATCACCTCCTCGGACGAGTTCACCTCCCCCGACCTTGACACCCTCTCCGATCCAGTAGACACCACATCACTCTTCCCCGACGAACTCTCTGCCATTCACCTCATGCGAATGGAAAAGAGAGATCGCTCCAGCCACCATTCCCCGACCACCCCCCCGGGCCGCTTCAAGAAACTCACACCCGAGGAAAGAGCCTACCTTCAGGCAAAGGGTGGATGTTTCCGTTGTCGCCAGTTAGGACACCAACAAACTAACTGCCCCAATGTTGGACAGTTCACCCGCCAATCATCGGCCCCTCGACCCGCAACCTCCGCGTCACCCCCCTCCGCAGGCGCGGGTCCCTCCTCGTCCTGAACACCCCCAGGACCTTGTCCCGACATCGACAACTCGTCTGCCGGCCAACCCGCCAGTGACATCCCCCGTCCCACCGACGGCCCATTTGGCATCGACAATCAGTCTGCCTCCCCCCTCCCCGGTGACACCCTCTCCATTGGATGACCTCGAGGCGTCGCAACCTTCATCACTTGAGATGCCCCCCACTGCTTCGTGCTCCTCCACCCTCCTTCCAAATCCACCCTCTGTCACCTTCTTCGATGTTGTTGACGAACAAGCTCGACTCAATCCGCTTCTTCGGTTAGGCAACGAACAACGCCGCCTCAACACCATTATCTCCATCGCCAACTCATCCCGTTTCCACCTCAAATTCATCGCCGCCACCCTTGGTGCGTCTACCACTAAGTTTCGGGCCCTCCTCGACATAGGAGCCACCGGTAACTTCATCACCGACGCGTGGCCGGAAAGCCGGTTTTACCTCTACCGGTTACGACTCCCCGATTACAATCTGTCTAGGGGACAAAGACACCGCCGTCGTAATGGACCGCACGGTTCCCGAGACCACCATGAAAGTAGGAACCCTCCGCAATCAGGTCTCATTTGATGTCATGCATTTGATGTGCGACATCGTCTTAGGAACACCGTGGTTGAATTCCACCCCAACTTCCTCCGCCTCACCAACCCCCCCGACACAACCATCGACATTCCCTATCTCCCATACCCGACCTCCCAAGGCTCCGTCACCCCACATCAATTCCTCCACATGACCCGCATAAACCCCGACTCCGCCTACTATTGCCTTGTCCTTGACCGCGAAAGTCCCGAGGACTTACTCCCAACGGACAAACCCGATCAAGCCCCCCACTCTGACCCCGCCCTCACCTCTATCCTCGATGAGTTCAAGGACGTCTTCCCGGAGTCCCTGCTTTCGAGGTTACCTCCGGATCGTGGCGTATCCCATACCATCGATTTGGAGCTCGAACATTCTCCACCTCGCCACCCTCCATACCAACTCTCGGTCCCCGAAGCCGAAGAAATGAAGCGGCAACTCAATGAGCTCCTTGAAAAAGGGTTCATTAAGCCGAGTTCATCTCCCTTCGGTACTAGCTGCCTTTTTGTAAAAAAAGGTGGAACTTCGAAACTCCGCATGTGCACAGACTACCGCGCCTTGAACCAGATCACGATCAAGAACAAGCACCCCTTACCTCGGATCTCCGAGCTCCTTGATCGACTTCGTGGAGCCAAATATTTCACCAAGATTGACCTTCACAGTGGCTTCCAACAAATCCGTATCCGTGAGGAGGACACCCATAAGACCGCATTCCGCTCTTGGTTCGGGCACTATGAGTTCCTCGTAATGCCTTTCAGACTCACCAATGCCCCCGCCACATTCCAGTCCACCACGAATCACATCTTTTGTGACCTCCTTGAAGTTTGTGTCGTCGTGTACCTTGATGACATCCTCATCTTTAGCCCCACCTTCGAGCCCCACCTCCAGCATATTCGCCAAGTCCTCTCGATCCTCCGAGAGCAAAAATTCTACGCCAAGCTCAACAAATGCACGTTCCGCTTCGAGCGTCGAATACCTCGGCCACATTGTCTCCGTTGAAGGCATCCGTATGGACCCCTCGAAGGTCACAACCCTCGTCGAGTACCACCCGTTCATTCACAACTTTTCTGAGATCTCTTACCCTCTCCACGAAGTCACCCGCAAGGACGAGCCCTTCCATTGGAACGATCGCCGCCAAAACGCTTTCGACTTACTCAAGCAAACCATCACCACGGCCCCTGTCCTCAAGATCGCCGACCCCACTCGCCACTTCCATGTCACCATCGACGCCTCCGACTTCGCCATTGGAGTCGTACTGTCCCAACATTTCCCCTGTGACACCGTTGACACCCCCTCCATCAAGAACTCCCCCACTCACCCCGAGGCTCCACCCAGTGAATACCCCATCGCCTTCGCTACCAAGAAGCTCCTTCCCGCGGAGATGAATTACCCCTCCAATGAGAAGGAAGTCCTCGTCGTGATTCACGCCCTCACAGTCTCGCGCCCGTACCTCAATGGGCAATACTTCACCATCCGCACTAACAACACCATCGTTTCCTCCATCCTCTTCAAGAAAAATATCACTCCACGCCAAGCCCGCTGGCGAGACTTCCTTGCCCAGTTCACATTCACCATTTGCCATACCCCCGGCAAAAGCAACCATGTTGCGGATGCCCTCTCTCGACGACCCGACCACAGGCCCCCCGAGAAAGTCTGCGCCACCATGACTCGTATCCAGCTCCTCCCATCACTCCATCACCGATACACCCAAGGCTACCTCTCTTGCCCAGACTTCGCCACCATCTACAACAGGCTCCGCGATCTTGACCCAATCCCCGACTACTCCCTTCACGACAACCTTCTCTACATTGATACCAAAGACACTCGCCAACTTTGCATCCCCGACGCACGTGGTCTCCGTACTCAACTCTTGGCCGAGCACCACGACGCCAAGACCGCAGGACACCTCGGTTTCCAAAAAACCTTCGACACCATCTCCCGCTACTTCTACTGGCCTTCCTTGCTCGCCGACGTCAAAGCATACATTCGCTCATGCCCCACGTGTCAAGCTGTCAACCCCTCGAACCGGACCAAGCCCGGCAAGCTCCAATCATTGCCCATCCCAACTCACCGGTGGCATTCCATCTCCATGGACTTCGTGTGCGGCCTTCCCAAGACCGACCGCGGGCATGATTGCATCTACGTCATTGTCTGCCGCTTGACCAAACGTGCCCACTTCATCCCTTGCACGACCTTGCACAGTGCCAAAGACGTCGCCACACTCTTCTTCGACCACGTTACTCGCCATCACGGCCTCCCCGAGAACATCATCAGTGACCGTGATCCTCGCTTTCTCTCACAATTATGGAAACACCTTTTCACGACCTACGGAACCACGGTCAAGTATAGCACTGCATTCCATCCACAGACCGATGGACAAACAAAGAAGATGAACGATACTCTCCAAAGAATCTTGCGAAGTATTGTCATTCTCATCAACACGATTGGGATCAGTTGCTCACAGCCGCCGAGATTGCCTACAACAACGCCGTCTGCCCTTCCACCGGCATGTCTCCATTCTACCTCGATCTTGGCTACCACCCTCGCTTGCCCTCCGACTTCTTGCTTCCTTCGCAGCTTAACCCATCCACCCCCTGCCCCTCTCTCAATGAATGGGTAGCAACAATGAACAGACTCCTAAGAGAAGCCTCCGAAGCCATTGAACGAACCCAAGAACAACAAGCCAACAAGACTAACAAACATAAACGCAACGTGTCATTCATAGGGGACAAAGTTTGGCTCTTCGCAAAACGCTTTGAACCCGAACACGGCTTGTCTAAGAAACTCTCCAACAAATGGCTCGGTCCCTTCCCCATCATTGAACAAACCTCCCCCATCAACAACAAACTCCAACTTCCCCCTGACATGAGTCGCGTCCACCCAGTCTTCCATGTCGAGTACCTAAAAGAATACCATGAATCCCCGCCCCAGTTCGCCGACCGCCCATATCTTAGACCTCCACCAATCATGCTACCCACAAGCCTTGAATTCGTTGTCGAAACCATCATCGGCCGACGAACCACTCAGGTATCTGACCATCCGGAACCAATCACTGAATACAAAGTCAAATGGACCGGATACCCCGACGAAGAATCTACATGGGAACCTCTCTCTAATCTTAAGAACGCCATGAAACTTGTCCGCGCCTATGATCGTGCTAATCCTATGTCCTAGATACCTATATAACTATGGCATAAACCCCCACTAAACCCTCGCAAACCTGCTCTACACACACCCTTGAACCCAGCCACCCTCCCCTTGACCCTGATTCCTGATGTCTGATCTGCCCTTACCTTCGCATAGCCTTGTCCCATCTGTCCTCTCCACTAGCTTGTCTCTCTTATCCAATGCTTGTGGACCTGTGTGACGCCGACGGTGAGGGATCTAATGGCAAGCGCACAAGGACGATGGCCTGCTGCCTCACTGTTCATGGAGATTATGCAGCTGGTTTGGCCACCATGCTGTTTCATCGGCCGGCATCCCGACTCGCGGACTTACTGGAGCAGCAACTTGTGACATGGATCTTTGCGTCAGTCTGCGACTTCCTTGCTTTCAGATCATACCTCATTGCGGTTCATGTACCGGCCGCACCCTAGCACTTGGACTTGACACTTGAATTACTACTACGCTTCTTGGACTTCTACCCCTCGCAGCCGCTGAAGACCGCTTCTACCACCTACTCCAAAGACCTGATCAAGACTGCCGCAGACTCCCTTTCAAGACACTTGGACACCTTGTTCCTACCTGAGATTCTGCTTCCGACTCCTTCGGACACACCAGCCCTTGCATCCTGAACAAACATTTTCATTTTTATTTTTCCTGACTTTGACAACCCTATAAAACATCATTAGCAGATCCCTGTTTCCCTAACCATTGTTCCTCGTACCCACTAGAACATCAATAGACATTCCCTGTTCCCCCTGACCATTGTTTCCCTTACCCACTAGAACATCAATAGACATTCCCTTTCCCCCCTGACCATTGTTTCCCTTACCCACTAGAACATCAATAGACATTCCCTGTTCCCCCTGACCATTGTTTCCCTTACCCACTAGAACATCAATAGAAATACCCTGTTTTCCTGAACACCGTTTCCCTTATCCAGTAGAACATCAATAGAAGTTCCCTGTTCCCTGACCTTACCCCCTTCACCTATAGCAAACCATGCAGTCCCCTTAGTTCATCACTAAGACAACCCTGTTCACCGGTACCAAACCCTGTTCCCTCTTACTCCCACAACCCATGCCACCCACATTATACCCCTCTTCCCTTTCGACTTGTTAACCAGTGATCGGCCCCGTCCCGTCCTTCACAGATTTCAGCATTGCTTCATGATTTTTGGCCGCCGGGACGTTGCCTTCTAGAGGGAGGGGATAGTGTTACGGACTBCGCCAGGGCTCGATCCCTGGTCTATCTTTTTGCTGTTTCGGCTGCATCCCGTTTTCGGCCTGGCACCCTTTTTCCAAACCCCTCCTTTGGTACCGTAGGATTTTGGACAACTGGCGCCATGCCCGCCATGCTGCAATTCGGGCACCATTTTTCAGTTCTGCCCTAGGGGCCTTTGCAGAAATGCCCCTGGTACCTTACGTGTCACCGGTACCCCGTACGGAGCGGGCACCGGTCTCGTACCAGTTTTCTGCTGCTGTACTTGTGCTTCGGTGTGACTTGCTTCGACATTGTGTTCGGAAATCCAAGACTTCGACTTTGTGACTTTGCCACTTGGTGTCTGCGTCCGTCGAGTCGTGTCGAGTCTCCGTCGAGTTAAGGGAGTGTGTGTGTGTGTGCTCTCTCTCTCTCCCTCTCTCTCCCAGCCTCGTTGCCTCAGCCCCATCACAGTGCCGGAATTATTTGACTTATCTTTTTGCTGAAAATTTTATTACATTCCAATATTGCCAACAGCATCCTAATCACTCATTCTCATCAATCACTCACTTGCTTTAGCACAACTTTGAGACTAATGATTTCTGTGGAGCTGTGGCCGAACATTGGTGGCTAATTGGAACCGCCTTACGACAAGTAACCTACACTTTGTGATTGTTTCAGCAAAATGAGCAGGGCTTCAGCAATCACCCCACCTATAATACATGATGTTCATTGTTCATGTACAGGGCTGAAAATACTTTTGCTATTCAATATTGAATCATTATTGATGGCTAATTGAACCTGCTGCATCTAGGCACATGTGGCTGCAAGGGGGACAGAGGGTGTGTAGCTGTCCACTGACTCAAGTGCTGCCAGCTAAGAAGACAAGTATTTCAAAACACAAGGCTTTTGTAGGATTAACCAAATTCAGTGTGTCTTCATAGTTTACAGTCTGCTTTGTTCAATCAATATGGAGATGAAAGCCAGTATTGCAGGCAAGCGGAAAATGATGGGCAACATTGTCACCTGTGCCGAAAACGTGAAAGTCCCTCCCCCAGGCATGGTATTTGGAGCAATCCACTGCCTTGATGACATCATCTGTCGGCTATTTACAGTCACAATGCGTCCATCGGTCAGCCCAACGAAGATGAGCCCTGCTGGTTGCTGCACTGGTGTATTTGAGCTGCTTGTCGGACTTGCCTTGCCAGTTATCATAATAGAGTCCGGCACATAGTAGAGTGGCCGTGACAGCGGCATACAACCCATTCGCTTCAAGTGCTTCCTTTTGAAAAGCTGAATTGGAGTTTGGCCAAAGTTAAAAATTTGATCTTCGATCGATGCCTTCTGCGTCTTATCCTCGATTTGGTCCAAATTGACGGAACCCTCATACGTCAGATAATAAAACACATTGGCTGCCTGGAAACAGAAGAAAAAGCCATTTCAGACCAGTAAACATGCAGCTAAGGAATCTGCAATGAACTGTCTTCCCCTTCCAACTGCCGTTCATCAACGTGAGACCTTGTTTTGCAAACACTGTGACATACATGATCGGCAGCCTAAACAAGCCTGCAGGGGCCTTCAAGTTCTCAATAACACAAACTGCAGGCCAGGCACCACCGGTGCAATGTTCGTGCTTAGACAGCATGACCCTGAGCAAAAGACTGTTAATAATTGATAAACGAGCCCGCAGGGGCCTTCAAGTTCTCAATACCACGAACTGCGGGCCAGGCACCTGCAGGCTCGGGCACCACCGGCACGATGTGATGCTCTTAGCAAAAATAATTGAAAATGACTTTCTTCAATAAATCCTTGAAAGATGCACTGGTCCATCATTTTCAACGAGCCAGCATTTAACAAATCAAATTTGTGGTATGTCTCCGGAACAACCCTGCCAAATTGTCAAAAAGCCCTCTGTCGAGTCCTCTTATTCCATTTGTTGGGCTCACAGATTGTCAAATGAAAACTCTGCTGGACCTACCCTGCTCTAGGCCGCTTTCCCCCACACCCTCTCTCTTACACACACAAGCACACCGGCTTTCTCCATCTCTCTCTATAACCCCCCTCTCATCCCTCCCCTGCTCTATCTATTGGGAGCACTTGCAGTTGCCCACAACCTGGGGGCAAATGCACACACACACACACAG